ATTTGTACTCCTAGTCTACTCACCAAATGAGAGTGAGAGAGAGAGAGAGACAGAGACACACAGAGAGACGGACAGAGCTCAACTCGCTTGCTACTTGACATCATGTGAAACAGTCTGGCCAAGTTCTGTGTCCTATGTCAAAGAAAGTATATGCCAGGGAAGTTTTAAAGGAAAGTACATGGTGGGGATAGGGTGTAATGAGGGAAATATGTTTCATGCTATTTAAACCATAGGCTGTGAACAAAGATCATGGATATGATTGGATTTAGAGCAATAATGAACCTTACAAGGCATCTAGTCCAAGTCCCTTATTTTAAATGTGAAGAAACTGATGCCTTGAAAGGTCAAATGATTTGACTTCAATCAGGCACCACTAAATGAGCCTAGCCAGGATTCAAACTCAGGTCTAGCACTCCCCCACTGTACTATGATGCCTCCTTGTCCAAACCCCTGATTTTATAGAGAGCGAAGGAGATCCGTCACAGGGCCTAGAGACAGAAGAGGCCGAAGAGAGTCTGAGCTTGGGCTTCGTATGAACAAATATACTGATAGTAATGAGCAAAGGGAAATGTAAAATTTCCCAAATGAGAGACTGATGCCTATAAAGCACAAGAGTATGCATGTTGTCAGACTGTATCACATTATAAGCCAGAGTTTGTGGCATGAGGCAGGTCACATCACCTGCTCTGTATGTTCTCAGCTTTTGTTAGGGACACCAATAAACCAGAGCAGTGTCTATAACGGGCAGGTTCTCTACCTTATGGGTACAGGATAAAGCCCTCTCAATTCCATATTACTGCTGAGGCCTTTCCCTCCACTCCAAGCTCTCTAGTTGTTACTATTTCATTAGGATTCCAAAAAGGTGGGAGAGACAGTATTGTTAACTGAAGTATCAGTGAAGACATTAAAAAAAAAAAAGCTTGAAAAAATTACATGCAGTAAACCTATCTGCGGAGGAAACACTGTTGTTAGCTTAGCCCTTTGGTCTTTTGGTAGATATTACATGGCTATATTAAACATTTTTTATTAAGAACACTTATTAACAATGTTATGCCATTCATGTACAGAATTGACCTTAATCAGAAAAAGACTGCAGTAAAGTTTTAGTCCTAATATTATTTGTTATTGCTTGAATATTTAACCCACCTCCCAAGGTAGTACAGAATTTTAGCTGGGGCCTAGTACATCTGGGGTCTTTGGAATGATATAGACATCCATTTCTAATTGTTAGTTAGAAATACAAGCAATAAGTAATAAATAATAGGACTAAAACTTGAATAATTTGGGCTTGCCATTCTTTGGACACACACTGTGCCTTCCTACTTTCATGCCTTCACTTATATAATTTCCTCTGCCTAGAATCACCTCAGTCTCCATCTTGGCCAATGGAAATCCTGTCCATTTGAGCTGGGCTTTGAGACTCAGCTCTATGATGCCTAATTATGTCACCTGGAAGCAATTACTTCCTGGGTTGCACCATTACAGCACTTAGTTTGGGCCACTTATGTTAGTCATCATACACTGGATTTCAATTATTTGTGCACACATCTTATCTCCCTTAAGAAGATCACAAGATTCTGGAGGTAGGGATTTATCTTCTTGTATACAGTACACATGTTTTTGTTCTCATGGTAACTGATACTATGCCTTGCACATAAAAAATGCCTCATAAATACTTAGTGATTGAACAAAAGAGTGTTGGTTACAAATGTAAATTACAGTGATTACTTATCTATTTTCTACCTACAACAACCTAGTATGAAAATTTGTCTTTCACTATATTTTATGTATCATATATGTGTATTTATATATGTATATAAATACATATACAAATATATGCATATTTATATATAATAATGCCATTGCTGAAGAAGCATTATATTAAAACTCATTTCAGAGAGCTAGCTGGTTTTCAGTCTTTGTAAAGTCAGATTCAGTAAATAAACTAGTTATTCATCATAGGAAGATGATTTAAAACCAGTTTACTTTTTATCTGTTTTTTCTAAAAACATTCCTACATCTTCTGACCTGAGTTGAACTGTACTTTATGCACAGGTTTCAATTTTCCTATCAATCATTCATTCAACCAGTCAGTCACCATTTATTAAGTACCTGTTGTGTGCAGAGCAGTAGGGATGGGAGGGGGAAGGTTCCTGAGGCAGTTCCTGCCCCCATGGAGCTTTCAGTGTAGGATAGGGATAAGACACCAACACAGATTAACTAATGCATACTTGCATGATAAGCATTTGAAAGCTGAGAAATAAAGTAAGTGAAGTCTGAGGGAAGGTAACAGAGGTGGGATAAACAAAGCCTTCATGGTGGCAAATCAATTGGTCTTTAAAGGATGGATAGGTGTGTAATGGCAAAGAAGGTAAAGGACACTTCTTTAGGCAGAGAAGCAGGGTGAATGAAAGTACAAGTAGCATTCAAAAGGTAAAGAGCCGTCTGATTTGGCTAGAGTCTATAGTGCATGGAGGTAAATGATATGAGTTAAGACTGGAGAGTATGGCAACAGGTTGTGTGAGTCCTTCAATGGCAGGTGATGGAGTCAGAACTTGGTGTTAGGGAGCCACTAAAGATTTTTTGAGTAGTGGATGACATGACCTAAAGATGATTAGTCTGTCAATAGTGTGGAAGTTCAGTTGGAGGGGAGAAATCAGAGGTTCAAAGATCTGTAGGAAGGTTCATGTCAACAGTTCAGCCAGGTGGTAATAAGGACAACCTGTACCCCAAAAGACAGCGGTGGGGAACAGAGAAGAGGGTCAAATTGAGAGATGTTGCTCAAGTGCAACTGACAGGACTTGGTGACTAACTGGTTTGGACATAAGAGGTAATAAAGAGGAAAGGGTCAAAGCTAACACAAAGTTTTGAACATGGGAGATGAGCAAATTCATATCATGTACCTCCATGCACTCTGGGCTCCAGCCAAATTGGACTTTATCTTTTGAACATTACTTGTACCTTTATTCACCCTGTTTCATGCCTACCATTGCTGGAGACAGCTTGGTTTGGGACATGTTGAATTTGAGATTCTTGTGGGAGATCTGGGTGGAAATAACCTGTAAGCAATTACAAACGTGCAGGTCTGGAGCCCAGAAGAGAGGTGAGATACATCTGTAGGAGTTTTCCTGCAGAGAGGTGATGGTTGAAGTCTTGGGAGTGAATGAGATTGCCAAGGGAGAGAGTGTAGAGGGAAGAGAGATAAGGACAGAATTTGGGGGGAGAAAGTACTCTACATAATCAGGAAAAGGCATAAGGGGCCACCAGCAAAGAAGACAGAGAAAGGAGTCTGAAAGAGAGAAAAGGAGGGTATTTGTATTTCTGAAACCAAGGGGGGAGTAGTTAAGTGTTGAGAATTGTAGATGACAAGGAGGGATCAGAAATGGCCATTATATTTGGTGGTTAGGCTAGTGACTTTTGACAGAATAGTTTTAGCAGATTTTGTTTGGCAAAACCAGATTGTAAGGGGATGAAGAGAAAGTGGGTGGTGAAGAAGTGGTGGCAGCAAAAACTTCTTTATAAGTTATAGTTATAAAGTGATAGCTTATAAGTTTAGCAACAAGAGGAGGAAAATGGGCAGAGGGCTAGGTGGCCTAGAAAGGAAGTCTTTGTTTTCATTTTTTTAAAAGCACTACTATCATCATTTGAAATCCCATTGGTTTTAATTACAGTAGTTTTCCTTTAAAACAGCTGTAGCTTAATGACATTTTCGGAATCACCAGCACTTTCTTCAGTATATTACACTATACAGACAACCTGAAGGTTCCTAGCACTTAGAAAAAAAATCCCAACAGTCTATCTGCCCATCACTATAAAATACATGATAGTGCGTTGTATTTGGATTAGACTTGTTTGGATGGGAAGAAGGTGGATTCATTCTTAGGTGACAAAAGGATTCTGCCTTCAGTTTGGAGAGTACTGTTGGCACACAGTAGGTGCTTAATAAATGTAAACTGGGGATGGTTGTTCAGGTCCTCCTAAGCCTAGCCCTTGTTTGACTGGCTTCATGAGTATTTGCATAAGGAAGATGGCCAAAACTTACAGCAATTTCACTGTCTTGATGGAAATGCAATTGACCGTGAGGTGAAGAGTAAAAAGCACGGACCTATGTTTGTGTATTAACATTAAAGAGAGCATTAGCAACAACCTGGAAGCCTGATTTATACCAATTAAAGCAAAATAATTTTGTGGTCAGGTTGCCTCTGTGCACTTAAGAGTGCAACAGGAACTACTAGGTGTTACTTTTAGTTTCTGATATTAGAAATGTTTTCTTCACTGGTGTTCCCAGGTGGCAACGTAGAAATTTTAAAAAAGGAAAAAAATTCAGGATGGAAATAGCCCATTCCCTCAGGGACATCTCTGAAGTAGAAAGACATTATAGGTTACCTGCCAATCTTACCAACATTTTAAGGTGTGTGGATAAATTGGGGGAAAGGAAATGGAGGGCTTAACTCCCAAATGACTAAAAGCAACAGAAACAAGTCTGTGTCCCCAGAGTACTAGCTCTGGGGACACAGGACCTGGGTTCAAATTTCACATCTCGTTTTACAGCTTTTGTAGCCTTGGGCAAGTCCTTGGGCCTCAGTTTCCTCATCTGTAAAATACGGGGGTTAGACTAGATGATCTTTGAGGTTCCTTTGAGCTTTGTTTTCTCAGCCCCTTCACCTCCACACCATAGTCATAAAATGACTTTACTGACAATAAGAGGTTCCCTCTGAAATGCAGACTGATTTGCTCTACCCATTGAGTGGTCTGGTCAGGATGAAAAGGAAGTAGAAGTGTTTCTGTGCTTACCAGGATTGTAGCATTAGGGGAAACACTGTTCAAAAGGATCTGCCTGAGTGTTATCATTCCCACCAGTAGGAACAAAGACTTGAGTTTGCAAGATGGCCACCACTTCTCAGGCCACCTTTTGACATACAGTACAGTCAGTTAAAAAAGAATTGCATCATTTGAATCCAGTCTCTCATCCATTCTTGCGAGTTCAATGGAGAGCTTGATTATTTTAAACAGAGTTTATTGTATTTAATACATTATAAAATTTGAAAAATTGTAGGAAAGCCGCAGATTCAAACCAGAGCAAACTCTAACAAGTAATAATTCTGGCCCCTTTGCAAAACTGTCAGTTAAAAACAACGTGATGTTCACATTGGCGAGGCAGACAAAAAGGTGAGACTTTGTACAAGCTATGTTTTAAATTTTCAGTCGAACAACTTTTAGATGCAATGTGCTTGTGAATGGGGTTCTGAAGTCCTGAACTGTCCCCTCCTCAAGAGGGGCCTCCAAGCCTCCATCTGCAAAGGAACTCAATTCAAGGTGTAAAAAAAGAAAAGAAAAAGTGAGGGGAGAAAGAAAGAGAGAGAGAGAGAGAGAGAGAGAGAGAGAGAGAGGAGAGAGAGAGAGAGAGAGAGAGAGAGAGAGAATGAATGGATGGCTGTTTGGCAATGGAAAACGTAAGGAGATTGTGTCCTCACCGGTCATGGCTTGTTTATTGATAATCAGGCCTCAGGAAGGCCTAGGACACTTAATGGCCATCACAGCACCAACTTCAGCTACCACATCATCATCATCATCATTATTATTATTTTTTGCATTTCCTACCTTTTGACATATATATATATATTTATATATTTTTTACACCTTGAGGTTATTATTACTATTCCAATTGTTCCCATGTGAATACAGGTATGGTCTCTATTTGATATAAATGTGTCTTTATTCGACTTTCATTCCAGGACTTGGTTTGGTGTCCCAACTGCACATGAATGTCCCTTTTTTCCTTTTCTGTTCTTTCTTTTTTTTTTTTTTGCATAAGAAACATGTCCGTTCAGTCCAGAGGCTCCTGCTTTATTCGAATGACGGAGGGTGCGCGAGATGTCCGTCTGAGTTCTCGTCTGAGTACGTATTCACTGAACTGGGAAGAGTCTACCCCTCCTCCACAGGAGCCCACAATTTCAAAGCCTCTTTGCTGCAACCTCTCAAGTACCTGGAAGAGACAAAGGTACACACTCAGGTGGGGAGCAAAATAGACCTCTGGCCACAAAGAATGAGAGGAACACCGAGGTGGTCTTGTCACTCTATAACAGCGTTATACTGATGCCTATTTTGTTAATCCTCAGGTCTAGTAGTTCTCACAAAAGTTCCAGGTAGCTTTTTCAAGGCCAGAAGCACCTATTAAATGTTTATTCCTCGCTAGGCACTGTGCTAAGTGCTGGACATGCAAAGAAAGAAAGGCAATAACACAGTGTGCTCTCAAACAGCTTACGTGCTGATGTCAACTAATTCCAGTTGTTTTGTTTTTTTGGTGAGGCAATTGGGGTTAAGTGACTTGCCTAGGGTCATACAGCTAGTAAGTGTCAAGTGTCTGAGGTCAAATTTGAACTCAGGTCCTCCTGACTCCAAAGCTGAAGCTCAATCCTCTGAGCCACCTAGCTGCCCCTGATCTGATTTCTTCAGAGAGACAATAGCACCCAAGTGAAGCTTCATTCAAGTTTAATAATGCCCTACATCTAGCTGGCCCCAGACCATGCTCCACATCCTATCCAGATACCCACCAGGGCCTACCTAGGCATCTTGTCATCCGCCATGTCCCCTCTTGCTCTGGGGATAGTAATCAGAGCAGTACTGACATTGCTGCTGGTCAGGGTGTGACAATGAGGACTGCCTCATGATCCCTGGGGCTCCACAAGACATGTTCCCCAGTAGAATATAAGCTTCTTGAGCTTAGGAACTATCTCCCTCTTGCATGTGCATCTCTTTGCTCTTCACTGTGCCTGGCACACGGTAGGCACCTGATTTTTACTCATTCATTCATTTCAATCCTCGCCCCCTCTTTAAAAACAGTTTTATTGACATTTTGGTTTATGTGACAAACATTTCCAGATTAGCACTACTCCATGAGGTTACTTATAACAAAGTAAAACAATTAAGCAAATGTAACAATACAATGACCTTATCTGAAAGTACATGAAACATTCCACATCTTTAGTGTCCCTCACCCTCTACCAATCTCCACTGCCACCTTTCTACTTTATTTTTTAAATTTTTAAAAATTTTTTTACTTTGGGGGAATTGGGGTTAAGTGACTTGCCCAGGGTCACACAGCTGGTAAGTGTCAAGTGTTTGGTCTGAGACTGGATTTGAACTCAGGTCCTCCTGACTTCAGGGCCGGTGCTCTATCCACTGTGCCGCCTCGCTGGCCCCGCTTTTCAATTTTAAAGTATTTTTTAAAAAAGCAATATAAATCAATTTTCTCTTTCTATCACCTACACACCCCATGGAAAAAAGAAAAACAAATTCCTTGTAACAAATATGTACAGTTAAGCAAAAAAAATTCCTCCAATAGCTGGATAGCAAAAAATATATATAATCTCATTCTGCACCTAAATCTAGCACCTCTCTATTAGGATATATGTTTCATCATCTTTCTCTGGAATCATGGATGGTCACTGTATTCATCACATTTCTTACAGTTTTCAAAGGTGTTCCTCTGTTGTTGATGTTGTAGTAGTTATTCTCCTTGTTCTGCTCATTTCATTCCTTATCAGTTTATAAAAGTATTAAAAATTATCCATTTTCATAATATTGATATTACAGTACAAATTGTTCCTCTGAATCAGCTTATTTCATTGTGAGTTAGTCTATAAAAGTCTTTCTATGTCTCTTTGAAATTATCTAATTCCTCAAAGTATTCTATCACATTCAATCTACCATAATTTATTCAGCCATTCATCAGATGATGGACATGCCTTTAGTTTTCAGTTTTTTTGCCACCAAGAAAGCCTCTATAATTATTTTGGGACTTGACCAAACCTATGAGAGCTTTTCCTATTTCTTGTAGGCAGAAACCTGGCACTGGTATAGCTGAGTCAACGTGCATATACCATTGAATAACTTTGTGTATATAATTCCAAATTTCTTTCCAGAATGGTTGTACCCATTCACAGGTCTACCAACAATGTATCAACATGCCTGTTTTCCCACAGCCCCTCTAACATTTATCATTTTCCTTTTTTGGTTTGTCAATCTGATGGGGTGTGAAGTGGAATCTCAGAAATGCTTTGATTTGCATTTCTCTAATTAGTAATGATTTGGAGTATTTTTTTTTCCACAACTGCTTGTTTGTATCCTTAGACCATTTATCAGTTGGGCAATGGCTCTTTCTATTATAAATTTGAATCAGGTTGTTTTATATATATATATATATATATACATATATATATATATATATAGATAGATAGATAGATAGATAGATAGATATAGATATAGATATATATAGATATATATACATATAAATTAAACCTCTGTGAGGTTGCAGCAAGTTTCACTTGCTGCAAAGATTTATTAGATTTGTTTCTGCAAAAACTTTAACATTTTATATGATCAAAATTATACATTTTATCTTCTGTGATCCTATCATTCCTTGTCATAAACTTTTCTTCTATCCATAGATCTGATATATATATATATATATATATATACATATATATATATATACATATATATATATGTATTTTACATTTATCTACTTTCTGCATAATGTAACTTTTTATATCTAGGTCATGTATCTATTTGGAGCTTATCTTGATATAAGGTATGAGGTACTGGTCTAAATCTAATTCCTTTCATACTGTTGCCCATTTTCCCCAGCAGTTTTTGTCAAAGTTTTATTGTTCAGTCGTTTTCAGTTGCATCTGACTCTTCATGACCCCATTTAGGGTTTTCTTGGCAAAGATACTGGTGTGGTTTGCCATTTCCTTCCCCGGCTTTTTTTTTTTACAGAGGAGGAAACTGAGGCAAACAGTGTTAAGTGGCTTGCTCAGGGTCACACAGCTAGTGTCTGAAGCCAGATTGAATTCAGGAAGAGGAGTCTTCCAAACTCCAGGCCTGGTGCTCTGTATACTATTGCATTAGCTAGCTGGCCTTTTGTCACATAGTGAATTCTTATCCCAGAAGTTGTAGTTTTTGTGTTTTTCAAGTACTACAATACTAGATACATTTGCTTCTGTATATGGTGTATTTAATCTGTTCCAATGATTGATCCCTCTTTTTTTAGCCAGTGCATATTTGTTTTGCAAATCTCAGCTTTGCAGTATATTTTGAGATTTGGCATGGCTATGTTCTCTTCATTCCCCTTTATTATTATTGTTGTTGTTGTTGTTGTTTGTTGATATTCTTGGCCTTTTGGATCTCCATTTGAATTCTGGTTGCTTTTCCCCCCCCTCTACTTCTATAAAGTAATTCTTTGGTAGTTTGACTGGTGTGACATTGAATAAATAGTTTAGGTAGTATTTTCATTTTTATTGACTCCTATCCACGAGCAACTGATATTTTCCAATTATTTACGTCTGTCTTTATTTCTGCAAACAGTGGTTTACAGTTACATTTATACAATTCTTGTGTTTATCTTGATGGTAGATTCCTAATTATTTCATACAGTCTAGTTATTTTAAATAAGACTTCTTTTTGTATCTCCTCCCATTTTGGGGGGGCATGTATTACATAGACATCTTAATGATGTAGGTGGATGTTTTATATTTTGCTAAAGTTACTAATTAGTTCAATTACTTTCCAATTTACTTTCTAGGGTCATCTGCAAAAAGTGGTAATTTTGTTTCTTCATTCCTATTAGTCTTATGGCTATAGCCAGTATTAACAGTACTATGTCAAACAGAAATGGTGACAATGGATATCTTTGTTTTACTTCTAATTTTTTGGAAAGTATTCTAGTTTATCTCCATTTTATATGATGGTAACTCTAGGTTTTAGATATATACTAACTACCTTTCAAAGAAAAGGTCCAGGGCAGCGAGGTGGTGCAGTGGATAGAACACCGGCCCTGAAGTCAGGAGGACCTGAGTTCAAATCCAGCCTCAGATGAAACACTTGACACTTACTAGCTGTGTGACCCTGGGCAAGCCACTTACTCCCAACTGCCTAAAAAAAAAGAAAGAAAGAAAAAAAGAAAAGGTCCATTTATTCCCATGTTTCAAAAATAGAAATGGGTATTTTATTTTGTCAAAAGCTTTTCTGCATCTATTCATGTAATCATAATTTTTGTTGATTTTATTAATAAAATTTGATCAATATTTATTATTTATTATTAATATGGTTAATTAAGCTTATAGATTTCCTAATATTAAACCAACTTTACATTCCTGGTATAAATTCAATGTGATTATAGTTATATGTTATTTTAGCTTTTTTGATAACATTTTATTTAAACTTTTTACATCAATGTTCATGAGGGATATTGGTCTGCAGTTTTCTTTCTCAGTTTTGACTCTCCCTGGTTTATGTATTAAGATTATATTTGTGTCACAGCAAGAATTTGGTAGGATCTCTTCTTTTACTATTTTTTCCCTGTTTGTATAATTTTGGAATTAAACTTTTACTTGCCACATTCAGTAAACTAAACACTTGGTGATCTGAACATGAACACTGACCTTTATGTCTGGCTAATCCATTGCATAGAAGATGATTTTCTTTGACATGCTAAAGGAATTGAACATTAAATCTTCTGAACAGATGATTCCTTTTAGGAAGACGAATAATTTAAATTGGCCCCTAAAACTAGAGCACTCTGTTATAGGTAAACTGGTTTGAAAGCAGCAAAGACTTCCAACCACAAATTGCATTTATGTATGTGGAAATGGAATAAGCCAGTAATAATCTACGTAATGACAATACGGTTTGTCCAATTTCTCAGCTTATCCCTCTTTGCATGCTTTATCTTTTCTTACTATTGTTCAAGGTTCCTAATCACGAGACAATATTTCATACCTGAATTTGCATGATGTATATAACTTCAAAATTGCATGGGTTGTCTCAGAATTGGGAACCTTGAAGAGTAGAGACAGCAAAGGCTGCAGTGTGTTATCAACAATGAGTTGCACACAAGACATGACATAAAAAGTATCAGCAAATATAGGTGTGACTGGACACGGAGATGGGCCATTCATGAAGCATGAACGGGAGATCCCACAAGGACAGCCTGAGAACTACACTGGTGCCCACAAACTAGGAAAAGAATCAGAAGAGGGCTTTCAGAATATCGAGGGTGGTTTCATAGAGAGATATGAATGGGAATCTCACGGGCTGGAGAAGCCATGGACAGGTTGTAATCTATACCGGCAGATCATGGGTCCATCAGTGTCTTTCTTTGCCTCTGCTGTCTCTCTGTCTCTCTTTTCATATGTACATAATAAAATTTACATATATTATATATATATACACACACACACACACACATATATATACACACACACACATACATACACACATATATGTATATATAATCATCTAAGTTTTCAGTCAGACATGTATAAATATTACTACTCTATGTTATTTAAGATCAAACAAATAAAGTTATCTCCAGTCTCCAAAATCAAATATCAGGCATTTAAAAGAACTTTGACTTAGCCAGTGCACATCTGGTATTTTAAACATAGGAAAATATTGGTTCTCCTGAAATTCTAGATACATGAGTTAGAAAACTGAGTTAGGGAGGGACTTCCATTTCTCATTTAGAGATTCAACATATATAGCACTTGAAAGGATTTCTGAGTGCAGTTAAATTACTTCTGAATCACTGGAAGGGCTTTCATGATATTTAAAAAGTCGCAATTCAATGAAAAGTGTGCTCTTAACTTCATTTCTTCATTTACCATTCCTCAGGAAGCATGACCCACCAACTTGAGAAATACTTTATTAGGTAAGACCAGAGAGTGAGTATATATAGATATATAAAATTATAACTGCAAAGCTGGCAAATGAGGATTTGATTTTTTTAATAGAATATTCTGAGACAAGCTGCTGTAAGGAAATGTCTATCAAGTTACCCCTCAGTGCTCTGATTCTGTAAGTAAATTCAAAATTTATGCAAGTACCAATTTACTTAGTAATTGGACTAAAGAAATAAATCACCAAGTTTTTGTTTTACTATCATTAAATAAAAAATTTACATTTTGAGCTCTGAAGTCTTTGTATCTATATGATAAAATCTTCAAATGTATATGGTGATATAAGGCTTGTAAAACCCTTTGCTCCCAACAACTCAGACTGTAAGTACTATTATCCCCATTTTACAGATAAGGACACAGAGGCTGTGGAGCCAGGACTCAATTGGCAGTCTCCTGACTACAAGACCAGTGGTTTTTCCACTATACTGAGCTGCTTCTTAACTATATTTGAGGAGAAATATAACCTGTTCAGATGTCTGGCATCTAATGAAGCCAAAGAAGAGCTCACTTTAAGGAGACATACTTAGCATAGACAGGAATGTAATCTCCCCATGAAATTTGACTTGGCTTTTGCCAAGAGTTTCTTTGACGTTATTTGGAAAACAGCTACAAAGGTCCTGAAAGGTTTTGGGGAAAGCCCTTAAGCCTGACAGCCTCTGTCTTCTGCAGGACCATGCCAACAGAGTCATGACTGAGATGATCCCTAATCCTGACAAGCCTAACAGTCATATTGTCATGAATTTAGAACATTACAAGATTAGTCTGCCTCCAAATTAAGTCCAAAATTGTGCTCTCCAACCCCAATTGCTTAAAAACTATTTCTAACAGTGTTCCCAGTTCTTGCTAACAAACAATGTTTGTGTGACTTACATTTTCACATCTAATACTATACAAGTTTTGGCTTGCCAGGATGGTCCCCCTTTCCCATTGTCACCTTTTGGGAGGTAAAGCAGCCAGGACTTGTGGCTCACAGCTGTGCCCTACAGTGTAGAACCAGGAGGAAAGCTCCACTTCCCCGATCTAACTGGAATGATCTGGTAAACCTGCCATGCAACTGGATTTAAGCCACTGACTCACTGGGCTGGGAGAGAGGCCAAAGGTTCAGGAGGGCATGATGGACCTGCAGGGTCCTGGGCACAAAGGGATGGCTTCATTTCTCCCTTGGGGGAAGGAGTGGAACAGGGAGGGGAGGCCGAAAAGCTAGGAGGTTCAGGGAGGAGGTAGGTATCTAATCTCTGGTGGTGCCCGCCCTGTGCAAAGACATCCATGGGATGTTTTCTGAAGGACCATTTTCTACTCTGGGAAGGATATGCTTCAGATTTTTCAGATTTTGCCACATATATGAGTCCTTTGCAATGGGCAGAGCTGGGTGTCAGGTGTCAGGGGATTAATTATCAGGGGGTTAAGGGACTTTGAGGGAAGCTATCTTGATTAATATTTTGCGTAATTAATCCTGAACAAGAGCTGAAACCATTTATTGCTTTTAATTCAACTTTTATAAGTGATTTTGTCATGAATCCAAGCAGATTAGCATAGCTGAGCTGATAGAGTATTGGCCTCCAACTCAGAATATGTGTTTTGAGTTCTGCCTTTATGATTATGTAAGCTTGGATACATCATTTAACCTCTTTTTCGTGACCTAGTTTCTTTCTGTAAAAAGGCAATAACAGAGATACCTGCTTACCATATGGAGATAAGGGCATGTAGAAACTTTTTGAGATCTTTGTAGAAGTAACATTATATCCAGTTTTAGAAAACATTTGAGCACCCACTACATACAAAAGAACAATCAATAGCTGGCACTGGAGATACAAATTTGAAACAAACAAACCAATACTAGTCCCTGTCCTCAAGGATCTTATAATCTGGGAAACGTTAAATGAACCCATGGTCAAATAATGTAGCCTTCTTAAGTCAATATGTGATACACCACATACCTGAACTGAGTTGAGGTGACAGTATCCATTCAGTGGAAATCTGATGACATGTGTTGAGTCGTGATTCCAACCTGCGTTGACCGAATTACACATCACATCTCCAATTTCTGGGAACACCTCTTCTATCAAAGATTTATCACCACTGAGTGTAATCCTCTCTCCGAGGTCTGGGGCAACTCGTACCACTAAGCATTCACAGGGTCTGGAAAAGCGACCGTTTTCCCGATCCTGTTTCCATCTTTCCATCTCCATTAACATGGGTTGAAGCTGAAAGTACTTTGCCTCTTCATATAACAAAGTGTAGTCCTGGGAAAGAAGAGAAGGGTTTGGGGAAGAGATATTTCATTGTGCTAAACTGTAATGAACAGTATGGCAACCTAAGAGCATTAAAAAAACCACCAGCCTCTGGGTAAAAAAATCATTTTTGACTTTTGCTATTGCACATTTTGTTGACTAGACTTTTTAATGAAATCATCTACATCTTTTTCTCTTATTTCAAGTTTGCAAAGCCTGAAATAATTTCATGCAGTGCAGAGTTAGCCTGTACAAAGTCTGTACCGCATAATGAAAGGGTCAGCACCTTTCGGATAGTTCACAGTCTGCATAATGACAAACACAAGGTAGGAAAACCTGTTTTAGCATGTAAAGAATTTAGAAAAGAGAGATTTTACAGATACAGATGTGTGTTCTGCTGTAAGAAAACTCAATATGCCCTAAGTTAGAATGTACCAAACCAATATAATTTGGGAGACTTTTCAATTTAAGTAATAAGCCCTCTAGTGCATTTTAAATTTCATTAGATTGACAAGAATATGATTTATGTTCAAAGTTCAGAGAAAAGCCTATTGTGTAAAGTGAGGCACACCTGTAGGAAGAGATCTACTTTGCCATTCTTAATGAGCTCCACAGAGAGCCTGTGCCTCCTGCCAACTCGGTGGTGGTGTGGTAAAATGAGATCACTGAGCTGACAGGTCGGAACAACATCAGGTCTCTTCATCCCATCTGGGCACGAGGCAGGCAAACATGTACTGGGTGAGGTGGGGGGAGAAGGGGAAGGAATTCTCAAGTGTTTGTGAAAAGGAAGCCATTTAGGAGGTTTTTTTTGCATAATTTTGTGTCTTGGAAAAAAAAGGGTTGATATTGATTTTAAAAGTTCTTCTAGCAAACAGGTATCAAGTAAAAATAAACACCCCAGGAGAGAGGGCATATAGAGACAAAAAAAGAATGAGGAGGGAGAGTAGAAACAAGGTCAATATTGCGTTTGATGGTAGCTATAGCCACAACCGTCAGGGTGGGAGATGAGGGACAACCTGCCCAGGTATGTTCATGGTGAAAATTTCCATCTTCTGGCATGGTCACTGCACAGTCCGTGCAATGGGCCGGGGCTGACAGGTGAGGATGATTGAAATATTTTTGGCCCAAGTGCTGATCATCCAAAAAGCCTTTGTTATTTGGCATGGCCGATGCTGGAGTATATGGAGGAGAGGATGGAGATGAGTGAATTGTTTTTATTTTATTTTCAATTTGCCCTTCCGCTTTTGAGTTGACCAGAAGCAGAACTACCCCAGGGCTTTAAAGGGAAAGCGGTTCCAGGAAAGCTCTTTTCCAGCATTTTACTCACACCATTTTACATGATTATAAGTCATAAAATAAGAGTTGCATGAAATGAGAAACTTTTACCAAGTAAAAGGCAAGGGAAGGTGTCAGTCTCAAAACTGATACGAATGGTAGCAGTAACTTTTATTTCTTCTCTTGTCCCATCATTTCGTAGTCAAATGCCTTTAATTCCTATAATCTTTACCCAAATGACATGGCTTGCTGACCCTTCACCAACCTGGTTGCCTTTTTTCTGAACTAATTCAGTTTGTCAATGTTCTTCTCGAAATATAGCACCCGCAAAATTATTTATAGCAAATATTCTCTGTGCTAGCAAAACCATGGAAGTAAAATGGGTGCCTATTATTTGGACAATGGATGAACAAACTGTGGTATACAAATGCAATGGAATGCTGCACCCTAAGAAATGATGAAAATGAAGAGTTCAGAACTGAATGAATGAGTGCATAAGCATTTATTAGAGGCTTACTCTGTTCAAAGCACTGTGCTAAATGCTGGGGATACAGATGGAAAAGTAAGATGTTTCCTGTTCCCCAGGAGCTTACTTCTAATGGGAGTAACATCACTAGAGAAGGTTTCACTTACAAATCAGATAACTGGAAGTGCTGCCCCACCTATGCTCTTGGGCTTACTTGCCATTCATAAGATTTGTATGAACTTATGTAGAGTAAACAGAACCAAGGAATACAAAAATGTAAAAGGAACATTGAAAGGCATTGGAACTCTGATCAGTGCAATGACCTAACTTGCCTGCTGTAGACCGCTGGTCCATTAGGCATGTGTTAATGGATATGGCCAATGCTACTGCTGGTTTTGCTTCACTAGAACTTCTCTGTTGGGAAGTGGAAGGGATACTAAACAAAAAACTATCAATAAAACATTAAAAAAAAAAGATAGCACCCAGACACGAACAGGACAGTGGCTTACAAGGGCTACTGCCCAGGTTCACGGTACTCAAAAACTGAAAACATTGAGGTCAGTAGTGGAGGCGACATTCTGAGCAGAGCTAGGGTTGGGCAACAAATAGGATTCCAACTCAGATCCTAAGGGAAAGGGCATCAATCATCTCTCCAAGTGGGTCTTACGAACTTCCTGGAGCCTGGGCCTCACAACAGTTAAGTATTGACCTAGATAAACTTCTCCCTTATTAGACTACAGGTGTCAAAAGGATTTAAAAATGGAAAGCCATAACAAAGTGAAGATACACATTTCTGCTCATTTTTCCTGTTTCTGTGAGATTTAATTTCATGGTATGGCTAGCCCTCTGGAAAGGTCATGTTTTCCTAGAACACAGAATCTTAGGGAGGGAAAGAATCCTGGAAATCCATTCAGTCCTATCTCATGCAGGAGTGCCATTTCTTACATCCTCAGGAGGTGTTCATTCAGCCTCTACGTGAGCATTTTTGCTCATTACTTCCTAATTAAATTCAACAAACATTTAATAACCCACAATATAATATAAAGTACACATACACAGAGTGTGTGAAGTACATATGTTAATATACTGTGCTGGATAGCTAGAAAGACAAACAAAACGTGATTCCTGCTTTCAAGCTAATGGAGCGGCTAAGATACTATGTACCACCTCTACCCCACCATGTATGTACATACATACACCTATAGCTAGAAAACAAAATGGAATGTGATAAATACATACAGATGCAAAATGCTAGGAGAATTTAGAGGTAGGGGCACAAAGAAGATCATTTCATTTCTAGACAGACTTAGTGGCTAACAATGCTTCCTCATTTTAGGCCAAGGTCTGCTTTCCTTTAACTTTCATCCACTAATCCTCCTTCTGCCTTCTGTGGCTCTAGTTTTGTTTAGTCTATTAGTTGTGTCTGACTCTTTGTGACCCCATTTGAGATTTTCATGGCAGAGATACTAGAGTGGTTTGCCATTGCCTTCTCCAGCTTATTTTACAGATGAGGAAACTGAGGCAAACAGGGTAAAGTGACTTGACCAGACAGTAAGTGTCTAAGGCTGGATTTGAACTCAGGTCCTCCTGACCCCCAGCCCTGACATTCTATCTGCTGCCCCAGATGGCACGGGAGGTTCAGATGCCTTCTATAGCTACACAAAACAAATCTAATCTTTTAACCATACGACGGCCCTTAAAATATTTGAAGATGGCTATGATGTCTTTGTGTCTTCTCCTCCCAAAGTTAAACAATGACTCATCACTCTCCTTCAGGATATACTCTAGTTTGCCAACGTCCCTCTTAAAGTGTGTCACCAGGAAGTGAAAGCAGTGCTCCACATGAGGTGCATGAAGTCTGATCAGTGCAGAGCAGGATGAAAGTATTATCTCCCTTGATCCTGACATCATACTTTTATTAATTGAACCTAAGAGTGTATTAGCTTTTTTGGCAGCCACATCACACTGGTGACTCATATTGAAATTGTAGTCAATGCATGCCCTTGAGTCTTTTTCACATTGATGTTAAGCCAGGTCGCTCCCATTTTGTACTCGCAGAGTTGGTTTTTCAAACTCAAGTGCAAGATGTTACATTTATCTTATTTTAATTTCCTCTAGTTAGTTTCACCCCCTATATTTCAAGCCTGTCAACAGCATTTTGATTCTGTCATCCAATGCATTAGCCATCCCTCTTAGCTTTGTGTCATCTGCAAATATGATGAAATGATGCCCTCTCAGTCTTCATCCAAGTCATTGACAAAAGCGTTGAATAGGACAGGACAGGGCCTTTGACATGCCACTAGACTTTCCTCCAGCGTAATATCAATGCACTATCAACTTTCTATGGATACAGTTGTTCAATCAGCTATGATTATCATATTGCCAACATTTTTCCATCATGTGAACAAACATATAATGGGAGTTTTTGTAGAATGCCCTGGTAAAATTCAGGTACACATCTACTTCATGTCCCTCAGCGCAGCTAGGTGGTACAGTGGATAGAGCACTGGGCCTGGAGTCAGGAAGACCTAAGTTCAAATCCAGCCTCAGACATGTACTAGCTGTGCGACCCTGCAAAACTCATTTGACCTCTATTTGCCTCAGTTCCTTATCTGTAAAATGGGGATGCACTGGAAAAGGAAATGACAAACCACTCCAGTATCTCTGCCAAGAAAACCCCAAAGACAAAGTCTGTGGGGTCACACAGAGTCAGACATGACTGAACAACAAAACTGCATTTCCTTCCCTCTGGATCAGTCTAATAATTTCATAAAAAATCCAAAACAAAAAACAAAAATAAAAAATCCAAATGATAACCTTTCTAAACAGAAGTATTTATAGTTGTCCATCTATCTTTAACAGTAAACGATTATGAATAACCAATCCTTCCAATAGTTTAGAGAATGGATGAATAAATGATGACATAGTAATGATACAGCATTACTCTATCAATGTGAGGATAGAAAACTGGACTTGGAGTCAGGAAAATTGGATTTAAGTCCTGCCTTTGGAACATATTATACTATCTGGCTGTGTGACCCTGGGGAAGTGTGACCTGGAGAAGTAGCTTGACTTCACTGAGCCCCCACCCCACTGTCTAAGACTATGAGCTACAGAACAGTTGTGAATCTGTTTTGTAGAGGAAGTTTTCTCACTAGGACTTCCCTAGACCAATGAAATAACCAAAGCAATCCAAAAAAATTTGATGTAATGGAATGTCATGGTATCATAAATAATAATAAATACCGACATACAAATATGGAGAAACCTA